ACCAAAGCCACAATTAGAAAGGAATCCATGATTCCGACTTGACTTTCCCACGGGTGACATTTCTAGACAAGTCCAATGGTCTTCTTAGAGACAGAGAGAGCATGCTCCCTCCCTCCAGGAAGTCAGCAGTTGGCAGGCTCCCAGGCCTGTTCCGTAGCTGAGTTCTGCAGGCACCAGCAGAAACAGCGGAAATTGTGAACACAAGCAGAGTACAATCTATTTTAAGAGCTCTGTGACTGAACACTCAAACAAGGAATAGGCTTTAAAAAATAGATCCGTGCCTTTCCAGGATGTGATGCTAAAGCATTCTCTCTTTCCATCCTCCCCTCCAGGGCTGAAGTGATCCTTGGAAGTATCATCAAGAGGAAGGGATGGAGGTATGGTTCATTACCAGGACGGAGTTGCTTTCTACCGGGCAAAACCACCTAGGATGGCTGGTAGGGAAGGGGTCTGGAACAGGACAAGTCAAAGAACAAGATTTCAAGAAACAGAAATTATTCTGATGGTTAAATGATAGCATCCTTAGAGTGTCCCAAGAAATGACCACACAACCACAAAGTATAACCAATAGCTAGAAGGCCTGGTTTCCAGGCAATATAAGACAAGAGCTCACATCCCAAAGCCCAGAGCACAGGGATCAGAGTCTAGGTTCCCGGGAAAGGAGGATGAGGACGATGGCCAAAATGCAGGCAAGACCCTCAATTTCCCTGGGCCTCAGTTTCCTCGTCAGTAAAATGAGGAGGTTGGGCTTCTGAGCTACTTTCCAGCTCTGGGTCTATGAGCCACTAGGCTTGAGCACTGCACGAAGGAGCTTTTCACAGCATTTATTTATAAAGGAAAATAGCATTTTCATGGCTTCTGGACTCCCCCTCCCCTAATTAAGAGACAAGCGCCAGCAGGCAAGATGCAGATTAATTAAACAACTATAGGCTTTCACTGTTTATTTGGCTAATCTCACTATATACAATGAAGTGAGGAAGCCAAAGCCTTGGAGATGAATCCTGTGCCTATTTATTTATCCACACAATTGTGCTTTGATCTTCTTCCTCCTTTATTCCAAGGGTGCAGAAGAAATTATAGTGCTAACAGCTGCTATTTATGGAAAATATAAGATGGATAGCTTAACTATATGTACATCAAGACTTACAAAGCACTTTACATATATTTTCCAATTTGACCCTCACAAAATCCCTGTGAGGTAGCTAGAAGTATCATTATTTCCATTTTACAGGTAAAGAAACTGAGGCTTTGGAGAGATCAAGCAACTTGTCTCTGGTCACACAGCTAGTCAGTGTCAGGGACACAATTCGAATTTGTCTTCCTAACTCTCCTCCTGTCCTAAGAAATGCAGGTTATGAAGAAGCCTCAGGCCATCTAGTCGGACACCCATTTTTACATATGTGGAAACTGAAGACTAGAAAGGTTCAGTGATTTGCCCAAGATCACACAGGCAGTTGCTGGTAGAGCTTAGATTTGAATGAGACCTCTGGTTCCCAAGCCAGCACTCTCTCTGTATCACTTTGAGTGAGTGTTCTGGTAAGTCAAGTAGGCAGGAAACAGTTCCTTCTATGTAAATAAGCATTGGTCAGTTTAGAAAAGTGTCTAACTCAAGAAGCTGGTCTCAACCTATCCCTCCCTTCAGCCCTGTTCATTCCTGTTCTCTCTGGGCTGTTCACAGGCAGTGAAAGGAGATGTGCGGCTAAAGAGCCATCTGTGTGGTATATTTACCTTGTCCATTTTAGCATGATCACTCTCCCCTCATCCCTTGGAACTGGTCAGTGAGAATGTGGATTCTTGCAGAAATAGATTCTCCTTTTCTCCAGTGCTTTCTTTCACTGCATGGGTCAGATAGCATCCACCAAGTACACAGCCTTGTACAACCTGAAGTCCAGGCACCTGATGAATGGACTATCCATAGTGCAAGCACACAGGACTCAGATGGGCAGAAACCATGCTTTTCTGAAGATACAGTTGCTATATCTTGAGGCCAAAAGGGAAGCTTGCACACTGCCCATACCCGAGGGACATTTGCTGCAGTTTACCTATATGCAAAGGTGAGAAAGAATTCACAGAATCATGGCTCTAGAGATAGAATAGAACTTAAGGGTTATCTTCTTCAATATCCTCACTTCACAAGTTGAGGAAATTGAGGCTCAGGAAGTGTGTGACTGGCTTATGGTCAGAAAGGTAGGAAAAGTCAGAGGCAGGATTTGAACCCTGGTCCTCTAACTCAAAAAATAATACTTTTCCACTATACCAGTCAAATTTACTTGTTACATGGCCCATTCCAGCCCCACCACAGTGGACAGAATTAGGTCAAATGCATGAAACCCCATTATATGGGCTCTATCTTACTTTCCTTGTTTGTCATGGTATGCATTGACAGACAAACAAAACATTGTACTGTCGTTCTTGATACAGAGGGCTCAGTGGTGTAGGGGATGGAGAGATGGCCTTGAAGTCAGAATGACCTGGCTCAAATTTCCATCTCTGTCTCTTACTACCTGTGTGACCTCGGACAAGTTGCAACTTCTTGGTGCCCTAAGTAACTCTGCAGGTCTGTAAGTTTCAGAAAAGATGCTGACCCACACCAGTAGAGAGGGTTTCTTCCTCTGGGAATTCCCTATATCAATGAAATAGGTCCAGTCCCTGTCCCCATCACCATCATCAGTAAGGACATTTTCTTAAAAAATCTGCTCTGTATAGCTGTCTGCCTGTATATGCTCACTTCTAAAATCTAGACAATGTTTAGCAAATATACCTGCACTCATATTTTTAGATGTAATGCATAGGACATATCAGTCTTGCAAACGAATGCCAAAGCAATCAGCTAGCCACAAACTGTTCTCACTAGTTTATATATGCCCCATGAGGCTGGTGATAAAATAAACAGCTTTTCTTTCCTCCTCCAACCCAAGAGTTATTACCCCACAATGACACATGAATGGAGGGCTATTTATGATTGCTGTCTCTACTTGTTATTTTGAAGTCTAAAACATAGCGCATGGCCCTTAATCCAAGCCTCTAAAAGAAAGCCCAGATCTCACAAATGAGCAAACAACAGCTTTTCTGTTGTTCTAAGTAACTCATTTTAATAAGACATTGAGACTTTTTCATAACGGCTCTGAATAAGCATGATCACTGCCTCGATTACATTTGATGCCTTGTTGGAGTATATAAAAGGTGGAGAAATGGCTCTAAAAGGCTCATGCCATAACATGGAAGATTTGTTTTTCCTCTGATCAGCTGTTGCTCTAATAAGCCCCAAGAAGGGGAGAGAGAAGCCTGAAAAGTCCATCTATCATGGAATCTAGAAGGGGAAAGGACTTCACCAAGGTCACACAGGTTTCCAAATTGGACTTTGATCCAGGTAACATACTCATAGATTTAAAGGTGGAAGGGACCTTGGAGATCATCTAGTCCAATTTTCTCATTTTACAAATGAAGAAACTGAGGCCTGTAGAGCTGCAGTGCCTCGATCATAGTCACACAGAGTTAATAACAATAATACCTGCTTACCCGTATGGACAGACCCTCAGCAACTGTCCTTCAAATTAGTTCTTAGCAATCCAGCAGGTATGAGAGAGGGCTGACGACATTTTCTACAGCCTTTTCTCTGCACAACCACCTGGTTTAAATTATCAGCACGGTCTGTGTTTGTTTTAAACACCACAGCAGATTTTGATAGGGTTTTTAATGCCTCAGCATCAGCCCCTCTTGCTCAGTAGGTGGAGTCACAGATACCACTAATTTAAGGGCTCTCCAATCGTTTTAAGTCTTTGAAACCACGATCAGGGATTTTCTTTTTCCTGGAAGAATCAAACCAAATTATATATCTCAAGATATAAAATCAGTCTCTTAGGCAAGCCCCCCAAGAACATCACACGTTCAGTGAACCTCAAGAGATGCTTGTTATGCCAGGAATGCACATCACTAGAGGATCCTGCCTATGTGAGGTTGCTTATATTTTCTTCCCATAATCCCAGGTCTTATATTGCCTGAAAGTCAGATGGTGGAACTTTGAGCCAAAGATTATGCAACTGTTTTAGTAATAGCAAGTTGTCCTTTGTTGAAGTATCTAAAGAAACTTTCAGTCAATAAATATCATTACTCTTATTGCAACTTTTATTTAATGTTAACTTGGCCAAATCCTGCTGATAAATGTTATCCAGTTTAGAAGGTATGCTAGCTAATGTTTGGGAACCACTAGGGCTATTGGCCATGGAAAAGGAGTATGAGTCATTCTCTCCTGTCCCTTCTCTAGGAGGTGGGGATGGATTGGAGTCTATAGTAAATGCATCTGGGAGGTTCAGTGGATAGAGCACTAGCCTTGAAGTTAAAAAGACCTGAGTTCAAATCCAGCCTTTGATACTTACTAGCTGTGTGACCCTAAGCAAGTCACTTGACCTCAGTCTCTGTTTCCTCATCTGTGAAACTGGAATAATAGCAGCACCTCTCTCTCAGGATTGTTGCAGAGATTCAATGAGGTATCTGTAAAGTGCTTTGCAAACCTTCAAGTACTGCATAAATGCTAACTTTTATTATTACATGGTTAATAAATTAGCTAAAGTATTTGCCATAGGAGCAACCTATTTGTGTTTCTAAAGGGTGCCTTTACCAAGCCATCCCCACCCACCATCACTGCCTAGCCTCCTCTACCCTCTCTCACTCCCCATCAGCCTCCTCATGCCATCACTTAATGACACCGACCCACCCTTATAATATTCTCCCACCCATGTTCAACACTTCCTCTTCACCTTGCCCTTTGTGGCCAAACTCCAGCGATGCCAGATGAACATTTTACATCTTTAAGTAGATGCTTCAAATATGAAACATTGGGTTCTGTCTGATGGTATAATAATATTGTTGTTGCACGGGCTTTATCTTGACACTGATCTGGTTTTTTCTTGGTTTTATTTTTTGATGTACAGGAGATCCAGCCTGGTCATAACAACCAAACTCTACTGGGGTGGAAAGTAAGTAGATTATATCTAAGCCTCGAGCCTAACAGGACTCTTCTGCAGTAACACATTTAGAAAACAAGTTTTATTCACTTATTGAAATCCATGGGAGTAATCTTTTTCTCACCTAATGGCAATATGTGAGAAGTGAATGTTTAACAAAGTAATTGGCCTTGCTAGACCTGGGCAAAATGAATCTGAAGAAATGGAAGATGACGCACCAGCTTTGTGGGATGCTTGGGAAACCAAGGAGATTTCCGAACAGTATTTTCATCTCCAGTCCTGATTGTAAATCACGTTTCAAGTTTCAAAAAGAGCAAATAAGCACAAATCTTCAGAGGAGGAAAGCCCCTCCAACTTGCCAAAATACACAGCAGTTTCATTGCAAAGTGAGAAATATTTGGCCTGACCCCGGGTTTGTGCTGTAATCCCTCCTCCTGCAGTGAGCTCAGAAAACTACAGTCAAAAGTGCCATGTCACTGGAGACATAAATGTGGTCTCTATGTTACTTGTGGTCAACCCAAATGAAAGAGAATGGCTCCCTTTGTTGTGCACATGCCATCCAAACTTCAGCGGATGAATTGGTACTTCTGCTGGTCCCTTCTTGCATTTCAAGTTGTAGAGACATTATTCAACAGAATAATGTAGGCTGGACTTTTGGAAAAACGCATAACCCTGTAAGCTCTACCATCTATCAATGGATTTGATTGCCCTGTGCTATTTTCATGAAACATGGAAAATCAAAGGGTCTGGAAGGCCCTTATTAACTACCTGTGATTGATAGAGGGATAAAAATCCAGAGGAAAGAGTCTTGTCTAGACTATTCCACGAGGAGAGAAAATATATATTTTTCCTTGATTCTTTGAAGCTACTCACAATGAATATGAAGTTGGGGAGATAGAATTTAGATTTATACTCTAATGCAATCTGAATATAAATAAAGCAGCACTACATATGAAGAATGTAGATTTATAGCATCTGCCTTGCTCTGTTTTACTAGGCTATTGTTTTGGTTTTTGCTATGGACCCAAAGCCTGGTTTATATTTTAGAAACTGCACAGAGGAGACAACAGACCGGGAAGAATGATTGCTTCGTTGAGTAATATAGTATTATCTAGTTTACATAAGAAATAAGGACTGGATGGTTTATTGTTGTCTTTTACAATAGTGGCTGTCCAAAGGAAATTGGCAGCAGACACATTTTATCCACAATTTAAATTTATGGGCTGGTAGACTCCCTTCTGCCTACTGTACTAGGCAGGAGAAAATCCTAAGAGCCATGATACTGGTGGGAACCTGAACTATGGCAGACCAGCCACCTTCAATTGTTTAAAAGAAAATATATTTCTAAGCAGTCTTATTGGTTAAACGGTGACTCCCAGGGCAGCTAGATGGTGCAGTGGATAAAGCACTGGCCCTAAAGTCAGGAGGACCTGAGTTCAAATCCGGCCTCAGACCAAACACTTGACACTCACTAGCTGTGTGACCCTGGGCAAGTCACTTAACCCCAAATGCCTAAAAAAAAAAAAAGGTGACTCCCAAATATAAACAAGGTGGGAAGTCTGAGAGAACCCCAGATTGCAGAGTGAGCTCCCAGGATCAGGAAGAGGACAGCAAGGAACTGAGCTGTGGCAGAAAGGCAAGGCTTCCCAAAGGAAGCAGTGAGGCATAACGCCGGCTTCAGAACCGAAGGGCCTGCGTTCAAATTCTGGCTTTGCCGCTTATGAGCTCTAGAACCCTGACAAAGTCAATCACTTCTCTGAGACTCATTTCCTCATCTACAAAAATGTTTTGTAAAACTTGGTGAATTACAAATGTGAATTATTTTTATTAAAATGAAATGGTTGGAATAGATCAAAGGGCTCTTACCATTCGGGGAGTCACAGGTCACTGGCAGTCTAGAAAAGCCTATGGAGGATCTCTTCTCAGAACAATGTTTTTCAAAACATAAAATAAATACATAAGATTGCAAAGGAAATCAATTCTATTGAAATACAGGTATCAAAATATTTTTTAAAACCTGTTCACAGTCCCCAGGTCTGATGTTAGTCAATCTCTGACATTTCTTCTGCCTCTAAAATCTCTGCTCTGGGTTTCCTTTCACAGAGGAGTCAATCGTATCTATATCATGAGGTTCAACAAAATGGAGATCAACATATGATTCTGGGGAGAGCTCACCAGTTCTTTTTAAAATTTGAAATTCTTTGTTACTAAATTATGCCTCAGTCTCTATGGAAAACAATAATGATACTGTGATAATAATAATTAATATGTTATTACATATAATTATATTAATAATAATGCTAATAGCTCACACTTACATAGCAGTTTACCATTTACAAAATGTTTTCCTCATAACTTTGTGATGTAAGTGTAAGGGACATTACCCCATTTTACATATGAGGAAACTGAGGAACAGGGGCTAAGTGAATTACTCTGGGTCAAACAGCTAGTGAGTATCAGAGCCAGGACTCAGTGAAATATGGCTCTTACACCTTAAGAACAAAGTGAGGTATGATGCATGCTTGCAAAACAACTAACATATTCCTTCTTATCTGGCTGATGACCTCAGAAGTAGTGTTTTTGCTTCTGCCTCTGGTGTTTCCCAACGTGACTCTGTTACGAACACTTGATCTACAGGTCTTGCTGAAGTGAATGTGAGAAACAAATGTTTGCCTATCCTCTTTGCAGTGCAAATCATCTTCACCCTGCCCACAGTGGTCAGTGACTTAAGAGACTTAAGGACAGGCACAGAACTGCTGGCTGGCCACTTTACCCAGCATTCCCAAATTCGAGTCTTTTCTGCCAAGTAAATTACCTGGCCAGCAGCTCAGTTCCTCCCTCAAGGCTCTCCAATTACTGGCAGAGCAAAGATGGGCTTCATTACAAGGAAACTTCAGTCACTCTGTATGTAATAGATTTATATTTGACGCTGTGCCTTTGAAGCAATTAAGCTGTTTGATTAAAGTCATCAGTGCCCATCCTTCTTCTACCCTGCTCCCAGAGAAAAGAACATAGGGAGAGTTGAAACTCTATTAAACCATATGTGGGTGCTGTGAATGCCCCTGAGTTACAGGGGAATAGCAGCATTGTTGAGGATAAATGGTAATGTCCCTGTGACAGTCCATGCTTAATTTATCTTACTGGGACTTCCATGAAAAAGTTCACCGAGAGCCAGCCTCCTCACTGGTCTCTACCCACCCAGTACGCAGTATTTGCTGAGAACAGTGTATAAAATTAGCAGGTCTGTCTAAGTGAGAACATTTTTCTTCAGTACTCCTGGAACAGGAAAAAAAAAAAACCCGTCCAACAGCCAGCCCCACTCACAGTCATTTGCCTCTTTTATCTTGGCAGAGCTGAAACGGAAAGAGGATTGTCACGAAAACACATTATTGAAGGTGAGTACTCTTTCTTTTCCACTGTATTTTGTGAATTAATGATTCAGGAAAGTAAAGCACTTGACCAGTGAAGCCCCAAACAGCCTGGAGAGTCACCCTAACACCCACATAAAAAGGCTGTGTTTGTTCTAGCTTCCATAAATTTAGCCAAAAGAAAAATAAAAGATGGAGCTATCTAAAAGATTCTCATGGAGGCTCCTACTAGTATGATGAAAATGGTGCCCAGAAGCAGCCACACTTTTCTGCACAGACCAGAATCCCATGAGCTCCCCTTTCTTGTCAAGAATGAAGGCCAAATTGTAGAGCTACAGTTAAAAAAACACCTTATAACTCATTATCTAGTACAGGTCCTCATTTTACAGATTAAGAAACTGAGGCCTGGTGACTTGCAAGGTGACTTCTCCAAGGCCACACAGGTAGCAAGTGGCAGAGCTGGGGTGGAGCTCAGTTGATATAAAGCCCATCCACATCAGCCTCCTTTCCTCTGCACCTGAACCATCCTTCCCACTGCACGGTTCTCAGTCTACTTATTGGGTCATCAACACAGCCTGGAAGACAATATTGGAAATGGAAGCAATTACTTGCAGTTTGGAAGCTAGTTGAAATCTCTCGTACAAAGCTTAAAAAGAAAAGTCTTTAATAGAGAGGACAATGATTCTACTCGAATTCAGCAAGTTCTTTGAAGCCCGATTATCATGTTATCTCACTGGATCCTCACAACAAAATCTGTAAGATCTAGGTTGGGGGGGACGGGGGCGTGAGAAAATTAACCAGGGTCTGTTTAAGAAAGCCACTTCACAGGAAGGTGTTTCTGGCCACACCCTTGTATCTCTCAGAAGCAAGAAGTGATATTTCCTAGGTGTTTTTTTTTAAAAGATAGAATTTCATTGTTCAGGGAGACTCTAGAAAAGTTTTCTAGATCTTTTTTCATTAATTTGGTGGTCACCCTTCCATTCTTCCTCTCAGTTCTCCTTTTGTTTTCTCTTTTATCTCCTCATAAAAGTGTGGCTCTTCTAGTCCTTATTCTTAATTTATTTTCACTTGTTCCTTTATTCAATTCAATTCAACAAACCTTTATCCAGTGCTTCCTAGATGAAGGGCATAGTGCCAAGCTCCTGGCGATACCAAGAAAAAGAAACAAACAAAAATTCTTGAAACCATCACAGCCCTCAGGGAGCTTACAATATGTGCATAGATGAGCGAATATATATAATCTGAAGTCAGTTAGAACTTCCCTGTGGCTCAGCAGATCTCCCTGCATTTTTTTTCACTAGACTATTAGGGTTTCTGCCCGCTTCTCTCTTCCCACCCAGGAATGCCCATGCACAAGGCACTTGTTAAATCTTTTCCTTTAATGCCATTTCTTACCCTTTCCTTAAAGAATGTACTTACATAAATTTAATTCAATAAGTATTTATTAAGTGCTTACTGTCATGTCCCAAACATTTTCAAAGAATAGGACCACATTTTATCTGCATGGAAATATTGTAATAGATATAAGAATTATGATTGTTATAATATTATAAGTATAATGATATACTTATATTAGCTTATATAGTAACTATATTAATTAGTAATATCATAATTATGTTATAATAATATAATGACATAAATATAATAGCACTTTAAGGTTTATAAAGAACATTATTAATATTATATCATTTGATCCTCATAACAACCCTCGATATAATGATCCCCATTTTACAGATGAAGAAACTGAGGCAGACAGAGGTTAAGTGACTTGCCCAGGGTGACACTGCTAGGAAGTGTCTGAGCCTGGATTTGAACTCAAGCTCTAGCACTCTGTGCACTGTGCTAACTAGGTTGTTTTATTTTTACCATCATCATCATTGATTGGGACTACACTTGTGAGTTATCTGTATAGGGAAGTCCTTTGTGAGTTGACTTCTACCAATGCAAAACTGCCTCCTCTGTGCAACTTACAGAATTGAATGGGGGCACTGGGTAGTTATACAGCTTGTCCAGTGCGTATTCAAAAGCAAGACTTGAACCCAGGTCTTCCTGGCTTCTAAGCTGACTCTCCATACACAGCGCCATGATGCTTTTCTGTTGCTATCATTATTAACTGTGACCCAGGTGGCTTGCTTTGTTGTTGTTTTACATGGAGTATGTTTTTTTCACCACTCACCAGATGTAGGCTAAAGGGACCCTAAGCTCCTGTCACTGCTCAACCCATCTCTACGTACAGGTTGTTTTGCTGCCAAAGTAAATCTTCTTGCTGCCAGAGCAAAGGGACATATTTTGGCTGTGGAGGGATTCTCAAAGTGGGAGTTCTAGTGCAATCCCTTCTGTTCTTGGCTTCTACAAAGTGCAATATGGCAATAACGTTTTCCTCAGACCATAGTGATCAACCTGGCATTGTAAAGTATTAACACCCAGCTATCTCTCACTGCTACTAGGTCTATACTGACCATCACAGCTGACTTAGTATTTGGCCAGCCCAGAAAAGATCTGAATCTAAATGAACAGAACAAAAGCTAATTATTATTACCCTTCTAAAGAGGAAAATCAGGGATTTTTTAAATTCAAGGAATGATATAAGATGGAAATCAGTAAAGAAGGCAAAAGGGTAAAATTGAAAAGAATAAAAAAGAAATTGAGAAGGACTGATCCTATATACCAAGAGATAAGGCAGGGTATTGAATTCCCATTAGTTTAATCTTCTCTAACATTTGGGCATAATTTCAGAATCTTTTTTTGTAAAGTCAATTTTATTCAGACCTCATAAAGCTTGATAGCAATGCCCAGAATTTCTTTCCCCCAAATGAATATGATAGTTGTTCTCCAAGGAGTTAATCTCTCCAGAAGAGCAAACTAGTTTAGCCCAAATGAGCACTGTCCCAGATATGAACGTTAACTCAAGACAGAAAACTTTTGAGATTTAAGAACTGGGGTTTAAAAAAAAAAGATTTTGTAGTCTACAGTTTCACGCAAGGATAGGAGATAGAAAGATCCCAGAAATAAGAGAGAGAGAGAGAGAGAGAGAGAGAGAGAGAGAGAGAGAGAGAGAGAGAGAGATTCATTTCTAAGAATACTTATGGCCAGACTATAATGAGAAAACCTTAGGGACCCTGAAGGAAGACAATCACTAGATCTTAGACTCATGAAAGTCTGGAAGACTTCAAGCTCAGTAGCCCAATTTTTCATCAGCCCCTGCACCTGGAATGCCAATGACCAGAGGCACCATTTTGGTGGGTGGTACTTAAAACCCATGATCTCTTAAAAAAAAACTCAGCTAGGGTGAGACTTTTTGGTGATTGGCTAGTGTCACTGATAATAACCATAGTCTGACATTTCCCACACTGATCTTGATGGACAGAGCTCGAATTTCTCCAGCCCTCATATAAGTTTAGCCTTTGCCTTGGCCCTCCATCACACTCAATCTCCAGCAGCATTCTGTTCACTCCCTTCTTCATTGAGCGGCGTGTCCTAGGGATTCCATCTGTTGAGTCTTTCTCCCCCATCATATTCTCCATATGTATATATCCAATCCAGCTTCCCTCCCTTTCATCTTTGCTGTGCAACTTATAAAAAGGAATGGGAATTTCTGGAGGATAGGACAAGGGCCTTGAGGCAGAAGCCAAATTCACATGTAGTCAGCCCCATATCTGGGGAGGAAAGGAGAGAGATGATCTTGGCCAAGCAACATAGCTCATGAAGTACAAAATGAGCTTTAAGTATGCAAAAATGGATTTTGAAAACCTCCCATGAAAGGCCGCACACACAGTGAATACAGTCCTTGTCTTTGTTCCAGATAGGCACAACGTTCTCTAAGATTTCTATCATGGGGAAAACAGAATATTCATACAAGCTAAGAATCAGAGTGAGAAGGGAGCCTAGAGTCCCTCAGGCCCGTTCCGTCCATTTTACAGAGGAGGGAACTAAGTCACTTAGTATTATCCAGGTGGGTGGCAAGTGTTTGAGGCAGGATTCCAAAGCAGGTCCTCCTGATTGCAGATCTGATGTTCTACTTCATATTCTAGTGGGTCCAGTTTGGTGGTTCAGAGATAGTCCAAGGGGTTCACACTAAACATTATTTACAATTGTAAAGAATATTAGGAATAGTGTATTAACTTACTCCCCAGGAGAGGTTGTCACAATACTTTGTTGTTACTGTTGCTGCTGCTGCTGCTGTTAAGGGTTTTTAAGACAAAAAAAAATTGGGAATCACCACACTACTCCATGCTCCCTCTCTCAGGGGGTGGGTTTTCTACTTCAGTTCAATGTCATAAAATTCCCATCTGGTGCTAAGATGCTCTGCTGCTTCTTTGCCAAATATGACTCTAGAACTCATTAGGTGAAGGAGCTTTCTGCCTAACAATATAAAAGAAATATTTTGAAAATGTGACTTCTAAACGATACAGTAAATCAGAGAATCTCGTCCAACAGTTTTCATCAGCAATGGAAGGAAACTGGATGCCATATCTTATTCTCCATGTGTAAGCTCTCACAGCAGTGGGGAACCTTTGGCCTCGAGGCCACATGTGGCCCTCTAGGCCCTCAAGTGTGCCCTGATTTTGTCAAAGGGCAGCACTTGAGAACCTAGAGGGCCACACATGGTCTCAAGAACACAAGTTCCCCACTCCTGCATCTAGTAGATAGAAAGTTGGCCTCTGGCTAGGGCTAAGGTCCCTTCTATGACTGCACTGGCTGAGGAACCTTGGGTAAGATGCTTAATCTCCCACTGCCCCTCCCCACTCCCAGTTCTCTAAGAATGGATATTGTTGATCTGCATTAGTAAAGAAAATTTTCTCCTCAGGGCTTCCCTAGACCAGTGAAAAATAGATTCTCCTCCAGTCCCTTCAACCAGTCCAAGGCACTGTGCAAGGTGTTAGAGGTACAAGGACAAAACCCAAAACATTCCTCAGGGTCAAGTAACTTATATTCTACTTGGAGGGAGGGGAGAGATAAAGTAGAGACACAGACATCTAAATCCAAAGTGATCTGATCCAAAATCATTTCAAGACAAAGAGTCATGATAATAATAACAGCTAGCCTTTCTATCGTACCTACTATGTGCCATTCACTGTGCTAAGCACAGTTTACAAATAATATCTCATTCAATCCTCACAACAACTCTGAAGGTAGGTGCTATTGTTATCCCCATTTTACAGATGAGAAAACTGAGGCAAACAGAGGTTAAGTGACTTGCCCAGAGTCACAGAGCTAGTAAATGTCAGAGGCTGGATCTGATCTAAGATTTTCATGACTCCACCTTGATATCTGAAGAGCTCAGAAAAAGCTTCTTATGAAAGGCAATAGCTGAACCCTAGCTTTAAAGGAAGTTAAGGATTCTAAGACCTGTTATGAAAGCTGGCTTTATGGTTTCAGAAACACTTACAGAAGTTATCTCTCCCTTGATCCCCATGAAAGCCCTGGCTGGGATAACCTCTGCCATTTTAGTGTGCCCTTGACAATGAACATGCTGCCCTTGCTTTTTTTTTTGGGGGGGGAAGGGAGGGGAAAGAAACCTGATAAAAGGCTTTTTAAAAGAGGATTAACATTGTGAACATCCCAGAGCCAAATTCAAACTTAAAAACTAGATACCTGAGGCAAATATCTTACAGATGGAGGCTTCCCTTTTCCAAACTTCCTTTAAGTAGCTCAGGACCCTCAGTGCTTTGCAATTATGGGCTGGCCATCCCAAAATCCTTTAATCTGTAACTTCCCTGGGGCATATATTTTGTGAGCAGCATTCATCTGGATTTCTAACAGCAACCTTTGTGGGGGGGCATATATAAACATACACTAAAAACTCCATGGGTATATGGAGGGGGAAAGAATTGGGGGGGGTCCTATTGAAAAGAAACTAGAAAGTGATATCACAAAATAATGTAGATTATTTGAAGGAGGTAAATTCTTTTCAGGATAAACTTTACCCAGAAGGGCTCTATGGCACAGATTTTCTGATAAATTCAAAGGAATTAAATTGATTTTCTTCTGAGAAAATTTTAGGAATTTCAAAGTACCCATTGGGATGATTGGAGATACTCTAGGCTGAGGATATTAGAGAAACAGAGGGGAAAATTTCTATTCTGGGGGTGAAAGCAGGGATGAGAATTCAGACTATTTGAGGTTGCTGGTCTCCTACTAACCAGTATATCATTAGCTCTTCCAAGAATGTGACCTTAGCTAAACTAGATCTCTAAGTGAATCTGGCCTTCACCCCTTCACCATCCATTGTCATCTTGGTGACCAAAACATTTCCCAAACCATACTCTGATCCTTCACTTTTCTATCAGAAAAAAAAAGATGGTCGGCTTATAAGTCAGCTAAAAAGCCAAATCAAACCAATCAAATTTAAATTCGAGCTTCATTTAACACACAATGAATTTTACACACATAATAAAAAACAAATTTAAAATATTCAGTCTTCCCATGTAATTAAATAAGCTGATAGGAAAATGCTGTTTCTCGAGAAAATGAGGTAAAATATTTCTTTCTTTTGGGTGTATTGAATCACACTCCATGCGAATATTTCAGGAAAACGTTAGTTTTAGCGAAATTAATTAATTTCTCTAACCACAGCAAGCAGCCAAGTAATTAGAACTGGGATATGGCTATCAGGCACAGAAGCCTTATTCTTATTTCCCTCACTATTTTCCTATGTTTTTGAGTTACCTTTTTTTTTTCTCAAACTCTTAATGTAGTAGCTGTTTTTCTAAAGAATGAGGACATGGCAGATTATTGGGGGGTTCTACAGACTATGTATTCGCATTCTAGGTCAAGCCCTCAATTCATTTCCCCACAAATCGTCATGCTCCCATGTATCTATTCTTGGATTTAATTTTCCTGTGTATTTCTGATGCTATGCCATCCTGGGCAAATGGCTCAAACTTGTTGAGTCTCAATCATCTCCCTAGGATTTATTTTCTAAGTTGTGATATGTACTCTGTGCTTGGTGGAGAGAGTTCCCATACTGGGAGTTTCCTACTTGAACAATCACAGATCCTCCCCTTGTTTGTATAATCCATCTCTGGGCTACTAGGGCAATGGTTTTAACAGTAGTGAATAGAACACTGGAGTCTCAGAACCTGTCACTTAGTACCAGCATCCCTAGGAGAGTCCTTACCTCTCAGGGTTTCAGGGTCCTCATCAGAAAAAAAAAAGAGGGGATTGAACTGGGTGGATGCTGAGTTTCCTTCTAGCTCTAAATGTATGACCTAGTGATTATTTTTAATCTCCTGAGACCAAGAAAAAAAGTAATGCAACCATAGGATCCCAGAGACAGAGCTAGAAGGAACCTCAGAGCCCACCTGGTCCAGGTTCTTGACCATTTTGTGTGTCGTGGACCCCAACAGTCTGGTGACACCTACAGAACCCTTCTCAGAATCAAGTTTTTAAGTGGATAAAATTAAAAGCAGAATCAGCTCATCCATCAATAAACATTTGTTAAGCATTCACTACGTGTCAAGCACTATGCTAAGTGCTGGATCACAAAGGAAACCAAATATATTGAAATAGTCATTGAAATAATAGAAAACAAGCTCACCAGTGCTAGATGAAGACTGTCCAGTCCAACTCCATTATTTTATAGTTAAGGAACCTGAGACCCAGAGAGAGTAAGCTTAAGGTAAAGACATATTTTCCTGTTTTAAGGAGAAGAAAGAAGCAGTCTTTACTCTTAAATCTGACTCTGGACATGCCTCTGAGTCTCTGAAGAACAACTCAACAAACATTTATTGATTTTGGGTTCAAGTATGTTTTCTAATCCAAACATTATTATAACTGAAAAAAAAGTCTGTAAAAGATACACTGAGGAGCACTTTGACACTTTTTAATGTGGTGAAGCATCCAGTTAACATCCTTTCAACCATTAGAATGTAAGCTCCTTGAGGCCAAGCTCTGTTTTTTCCCTTTCTTTGTATCCACAGCACTTAGCACAATGCCTGGCACACAGCAAGCGCTTAGTAAATGCTTGTTAAGTTGTTGACTTGTTCAGCATTGACTTGAAGGTGTTTCTACCACCGTGGGTCATGTGTGTGACTCTGCTGTTCATTTCAGGACTGAAGGGTTCCCTCCAGAGACTGCAGCTTCAATATGTGGATGTTGTGTTTGCCAACAGGCCTGACAGCAACACACCCATGGAAGGTCAGTGAGTGCTATGTCCTGGTTTCATAGTCATTGAACCTGCCTGATAGCCCTGTGCTAGCAGGCTATGGAGCCGATTCAGGAGGGACCAGTGAATGTGCACCCATCACTGGCCTTGAAGTCTTATGGATCCTCAGCATTTACCTTCAGGCCAAGGGTAAATGTGTCAACTGTGTCTATAGTATAGAACTCTCAGACTGTTCATAGAAAGCCCATGGATCTCATCTTAGAATAATGTTTGTTATCTTCATTCATAATTGAAGGAAATGCTAATTTTCACTCAGAGGTTAGTGAAAAGAAAGATGTGTTTTTTATCCCATCCCCATTCATGGACCCCCTAAAATCTATCCATGGAATCCTTAGGGGTTGGTATGCCTCCGTTTAGGAAGTTCTGCTTCTCACTAAACACTGCATTTTTCTTAAAAAAGAAAAAAAAAGGCAGTAGGAGAGAATGGGTTTGCTCTCCTTGCCAAATTATTGTGTTCATTTTCCCAGGTCCATTCCCTCGTTTGTGATTCTAATAAACAAAGAGTCAAATTAATTACCAAGGAACTTTATTATCTGATCATCCTTATGTCAAATTTGGTTCTTCTTGCTCAGTAAATAACTTCCCTAAGTTCACCCCATTCCTGTCGCTAGCAGTGGAAGCCAGGAGGATTTACTTCAAGCAAAAATCCAGGAGACTGTTTCTGAGCACCTGATCCTCCTCGGGGAGCTCAGCAGAGTCAAATCTGGGAATTTCAGCTGAATGGGGAAGGAGGGGGAAGGGACACCCAGAGGACACCCCCTCTAGTCACATGCAGTCGGGCCAGCAGAGCAGGCAACCCACGGCTGCCCCAGCTCACCCTCCAACAAGCCCTGATACCCCCCCATGCCTCAGGAGGACGTGGAGCCTGGGGTGATGAGAGAGCGCGGTGCCAAAGCTCAGGTTACTTACTCCTCCTTGTCAGTTTAGCTGATGCTCTTTCAGGGCTGCCATATTATTTCTTTTTCCCTCTATGGCTGCTTCAATAATGGCAAACATTTGCAAATTCAATCCAATTTAATTCAATTTACCAAACATTCCTAAGTTTGAGGCCAAAAAGAGAGAAAGCCCAGTGGTTGTAGAAATGTCCCTTCTAACTCTGGATCTATGATTCTACCCGAGTGACTGCCACAGTGCCCTGTATATAACAGGAATTTAATTAGTGTGTGTTGGGTTAAATTGACATGAAACTCATAATGTGGACCTACTGGGTTTAATGGTTATAATGGGGGTGGGAGGGCACAGCTGATTTGGGGGACTGGGGCCTTCCTGTGAAGCATCCCATGTAGCATGCAAAAAAAAAATTCCTGCCTGGGAACTTTCTGGTTGTCTGAATCTTGGATAAATAGGAGTTTGTTGTATATGAATGCCTGAATGCCAAAAGAATAGCATTCTTTAAAGGGGAGGTGGGAGATGCTTCTTCTTTTAGACTAGGTATTTGTCAGAATAAATGAAAAAGCATTTCAAACTTCATAAGATACATACATTGATTTCGAACATAGAATGTGACACTGTTCTCAATCACAAATAAAACTACGGCACCAAAAAGAAATTAGTGAAACCTACCAAGTAGGCTGCAGCTTTGAGGGGCTCCTTGGCTGAAATCACTCTGCTGTTTGATGTAGTGATTGAATTCCCTTTGGGATGGTGCCAAGGCATTGAGGCAGTGGATCTGTGTTTCAGCTCCCATGCTGCACCAATTCTCATCTCAGTCTCTACAGCGGACTTAAGGTGAGTAAGAGCCAGTCCCTGTCCTGAAGAAGCTCTTGCTCTAGGAAGGAGATAAGACAAAGGTGGAAAGAATTGAAGCAGGAGGTGAGAAGAACCAAAAAAGATGCAAGGTCTTATAGAGGAAGGGAAGATAATGCCACAATCAGGGAAGCCATCCTGGAAGAGGTGTCATTTAAATTCAACCTTGAAGATTTTGGTGGGTAGCAACGGAAGAGGCAGGTCTGGATGGACTAGGGAAACGATGAGCTCAGAGGACCTCTGGCTTAACTCAGAATCAGAGATTTCATACAATTGAACACAACAAGAATATATTCAGTGCCTACTGTTTACCAGGCATTGTACTAGGTGAGCGCGTGCGTGCATGCACACACACACACACAAGCACACACACACACACATACACACACACACACATACACACACAGAGTCCCTGCCTCAAGAAGCTTACACTCTGTTTTTACCATTATGTTTACAAATGCAGGAGCACCTCCGCATTTGCAGGGATATATTCTTGACATCCCCTCAAAGAGGGGAATCATCAGCTACTGTGCTGTGCCAATACCTGTAGAGAAAAGCCCTCAATTAGGGACCAAAATCTAAGGTATTAACTAGAGGTCGTTCTGGACACAGTTACCTTCATAGAGTGAATCCTCCATCCCACGGGAGCTACAAAGTATCCGTAAGAGGTATTAGTGCCTCTGGACACTGGTGGGCTCAGCATACTCAGTAACCTTCCAAATAGGAAATCATAAAGCCACAAATGTTTCCTATGTATTTCCTGTATCTAATGCCACTGAACTCTGGCAAGGTTGCCACTGGCATCATGGGGCATCATTATTGCTCCAAGGATGCCAAGAACAGCGAGCAATGGGGATTCACCAGAAGTTGGTCTGGTCCAAGAATACAGCATGCTGTGTCTCGGAAGCCAGGAGCCACCTTCCCGCTCAGGAGCAGGTGATAGAACGTCGCACAGCCTAAGAAAAGGACGGTCCCACCGACAGGGCGGCTGACGGCAATTGCAGCGTTTTGTTTTTGTGGGAGAGAGATTAGCCAGGCTCCTCCGCGAGCAATTACTCCTGCTGGCCGTGCTCCAGCCTGAGCCTGGCGCTGGCCCTGGGAGAACGACACGTGTGCCCCTCCCTTTTAGGATTAACGATTCTGCTGAGTCTTAAGGCATGTGTTAGTTCCTCGTTAGATCCCAAAGAGATTCCAGAATTTGGAAACACATCCTCCTATTCAGCTTCTTCTACTTCACGTGTGGTAATGACTCTGCCCTCACTCTCCTGGGGTAAGGTCGCCTACATCTCCCCCCTTAACTTTCTGGGGATGCCCCCTGAGAATTTGGGGTATAATTTCTCCAATGCCGTTGAGTCAAACCCCTGATCTGCTCCCTCCACTATGAGCGTCCAAATTCTACTTTACCAATGAACATCACAACCAGCTTTTACAGAAGGATATTTATCTCAAAGATATAGCAAGAACAGAAGCAGAAACATTTCCCTAGGGGGCACACTGCACCCCACACCCCTTTTTTCAGTGGAACTTGGGGCTCAGATGACTGAGTGTCTATGCAGCATTGAGGTCCAAATGGTGCATCACAGCTGAAGAGTTCCTATCTTACCTACCCATGAGCTGGGTTCAGAAGGCCCCTCCTCCTTCCTAGATCCTCAGGACATGCATGTCCAGCTGAAGAAGCCATCACTGACTCAAGTGCCAGGCCCCAGGTGGCTTGTTCACCTGGGCTTCCAAGGCTCTCAAGGTCATTGCCATCTCCCTCACCTAGGATACAAGAGCAAAAAATAACAAAAACCTGAGGCCTGCATCCCCAGACTGTCGGCCTCAAACAGGGAGGGCCTGGGGCTCTCTCTTCTCTCCATGGGATACTGCCAGATAGAAAGAAGGCAAATGAGGGGAAGGGACAGGTTCCAGCTAACTGAGGCCTTCTAAATGTATCCCAGCTCCAGCTATGCTACTGCTGTCAATCAAAGACACTCCTCCTCACCACATGGTTAACGGACCAGAACCAGTTGTACAATCTGCACCTGCTCCAAAGACCAATGGGTCTGCAACAGCCCCACACTCTGGTCAGGCTCATAAGAAGTAGGCTTTATGAGGCATCCGTAGGTGAAAGGTACTCATAGGGTAGGGCAGCTAGGTGGCACCATAGTGCACAGAGTGTCCATTATGTGACCCTGGGCAAGTCACTTAACTCAGTTTGCTTCAATTTATTCATCTATAAAAAGAGCTGGAGAAGGAAATGGAAAACCACTTCATAATCTTTGCCAAGAAAAGACCAAATAAGGTTGGACATAACCAGAAAAATAGCTGAACAACAACTGATAAGAGTATGGGTGGTTCAGGGAGGAAAGGAAGCAAATATTCAGAGATATGAAGCTAATTTATACCTCTTAAAATAAGAGTGGTGGTCTCTACATCCTGACTAAATACTGAAGAACCTACAAAGATCATTTTTTTTTTTACAAAATTAGAATATAAGCTCATTGAGGGCAGGTTCTATTTCATTTTTGGTTTTGTGTGCCCATGCTTAGAACAGCGCCTTAGTGCATGATTGTTGAACTGAATCTTTACCTACTCTAAAGCGTTTTGAGTAACTTGGATAATGGTGTTTTACAAAGGCAAACTACATTGATTTAAGGAGATATTTTCAGGGGTAAATTTTCATCAGCTCCCACACATTGTTCATCATGTAGTTTAGCTAAAGGACCATGCCCAGTGGAACATTTTTTAACCACCCTGGCAATATGGTATCCCCTGCTTCTTGTGTCCTTTCCTTCGTATTTTTGTTCCTATTGTTATTGTTTGGTTGCATCCAACCCTCTGTGACCCTATTTGGAACTTGTTAAAAAAAATACTCAATCAGCTGAAGGATCTATGATTGCATTATTTATCAGCACAGGAAACTCTCCAAGTGAGTACTCCCTTCACTGAGGCTGGTTTCCCCACAGATACAACTTAGCAGGCAAGTCTTGGGGAGTTGCGTCTCCTACATAAAGGGTAAGTGATTGCCTGGAATGGGCCATACCACTAACAAGTAGCACAGATGGGTTTTGAATCCAGGTTTTCCTGACTCCAAATGCATTACTCTAGTCATTATTACTACAATCTTCAAGCTTTTTTTTTTAACCATATACCCTATCAATTAAAAAAATTGAGCATGAACCCCCAGGATATGTGAACCCTTGAGTTTGCTGAGGTGAGAGTAATAAGGTCAGTCTTTGGCATTAGGAAAATCACTTTGGCAGCCATGTGGAAGATGTATTGGAGAAGGGGCAGGGAGGAAGAGTTAGGGGGATCAGTCAGGAGGCTTTTGTAGTACTCCTTGTGAAAAGGATAAGGGCCTGAACTAGGGTTGTGGCCTTGTCAGCAGAGAGCAGGGGGGCAGATCAAAGACAAATGAAACCAGAAAAGGCACCTGATTAGACGTGAAGTGAGGTATAAATCTGGTCGAGGAAGGATGTTTGATTGACAGTAATGGAGAAATTTGGAGGAGGCTTGGATTTGGTGGGGATTGGGGTGGAGAGAGTATGACAGACAATGTAGACACCTACCCATGACTGCTCATCCTATGGGACTCACTCTATTGCTCTACTCAAAACAAAAACTGGAAAGGCGGGACTCCTATTCACAGGACATTGGCCCAGAGTGGAGTGAAGTGCCCCCCTGCTGCAGCTGGGTGAAATGGGAGAAAGGGGGTATGTTGGCAGTGTTCAGGAGCAAAATTTTCCCAATGGCAACCACGCCGCTGCTTCTGTGGGTGGGTGCCCAGTAATGGCTGGGTCACAGCTACTGGGAGGCACTGACACCCAGCTCAGAAGGGGGGAACGTGGGAAGAGCTTGAAGAGCAGAGAGAGTGCCACTGTTCAGGGGAAAGTGTCCTGGCTATGTGGAGGCGAGCTCTGTGATGGACTAGGATAGGATGGCACCCATCTGCCCACCCTCTTACTGGTTGGTTGTACATTCCTTGGAGTTATACCATGCCTGTTAGGTCTCCCTTTCCCACCCTGGACAGAGCACAATACTACACCATTCTGGCCCTGCTCTTAAGCACAAATCAACAGAAAAGCAAGTCTGCTGAAAAGATTACCTCGATGCCAAATGCAGCAGGGTGGAGAGGAGGCAGAATGCTTCATTTGTACTATCTAGTCCTAGGGAGCACAGCCAGAATTTTTAGGCCAAGGGAATGTGGTCCTGACAGTCCATGATAGAGTGTTTACTTCCCCCCCCACCCCTTCTTGTTTGTTTTTTTTTTTTTTGGTTCACTCAGTAGTAAGTCGATTTTCTCTTATAGCATCTGCTGGGCCATCTGTCTATGTTACATTCTCTGGCATCTATAGAATATTTTATGATTCCCTGGAAAAATCAACCCAAACCCTAGTTCTTCTCTTTTTCCTCCTCTTCCTCCTTCTCTTCTTCCTTCTCCACCTTCTCCTTCTCTTCTTTTTTCCCCTTCTCCCTCTTCCTCTTCCTCTTCCTCCTCCTTTTCTTTCTCTTCTTCCCCTCTTCTGCCTCTCTTCCCTCCCCCTTTTCTCCTCTTCCTCCTCCTCCTCTCTTCTGTCTTCTTCTTCTTTTCCTCCTCTTCTCCTTCTTTCCTTCCTTCATTCTTTTTCTTCTTTTCTTCTTCCCCAAAGTACAAGGCACTCTCTCTCTCTGCCTTTAGCTAATGAGTTGTTGTAAACCAGACACTCATAAGCCCTGTGAAATCTATGGTTGATCCCTATGTAAAGTAAACCCCGAGCTGATTCTCAGCCACCCAATATTTGCTTCCAATGTTCAAAGAGCTTCATCTATATCGTCTCCATTTTTTAGCTATGTACAGCTTTCCTGTGGAATGCCTTAACACAGCATTGCTATTTTTGAAAAAAAGATGTCTGTTTCAGGGAGAAGTTTAGGGTGATTAAAAGCACTGCTCAATTTCCCCAATTGTATTCAATTAGATTCAACAAGGCTTTAATAAGCATAATGCACCTGGCATTGTGTCAGATGTTTGGGATTCAAAAACAAAATGAGAATATCTCCTGTCCTCTAGGAACTTATGTTCTTCTTTCCAATACAATCCAACTATTGTATTCCTTCTTTTTAATTCTAGGTCTGGTCATTATCCAATTGCTGAGTCACTCCAAGATTTATGCCTGACAGGCCAGTGCTATGGGCTGCATATTACAGTTTGGCCAACAGGCAATCTTCATCCACTTGATTTTTCTAGCCTGGCCAACCCTTGAATAATTTTGGATCTTCTATAGGAGGCTCTGTATTGTTCTGGGGTTTGATGTAATTAGCCCAATGTCTTCTACAAACATGAACATCTATTGACAGTGAGGGCTCCTCACCATCTACAATACAAGCAATCTCTTTTCTATTTGGACTCAAGGCTAGACTTGCAACATGGCAGTGGTGGCTGTGTGATCATGTGAGGGATCTGAAAAGAAGGTGGGAAGGTTGGAGGCAGGAGGTGAACCAAGGTCTCTCCCAACTACAGGGTCAGCTTTCTTTCAACTCCCCCCAGACTCCCTGAGTGGTTATATCTTTGTCAAATCTCACATTAATCCTTCCAGGTTATCATTCTTTCTATGACCCCAGACTAAAAGTCTCCAAGCACTATAAGGGTCCTTCAAGGGCAATTTCTAAGCAAATTATGCCATATGCAGCTTTTCAGAGCAAGGTCAGAAGAGGATCAACCTTTTAGCCTGTGTACCTCCTAAGAATATCCCCAATTCATTGTTTGGGAAACTAATCTGGAATGTACCCATGCTATTTTTCATCTAGTACTCATTGCCCAAATTAGTAATATTTCTATGATCTCCTATTAATTATAGTCCAGACAATCTTATGGATCATGCTGGCCACCACTGCCTCATTCCTCCATCTTCTAAAATTGAAAGATGCCAAAGTTCTAGGGTATTCAAGGGTCTTCTGAAGCTTCCATTAACCACATCAGCTCCAGAAACTTTCTCCACTTGTGTTTCTGAATTTCCTTTAGCAGTATATGCTTAAGAACTGAATGTGTCCCTGGCACATTGAACATGCTTCAGATATTCACAAAGAAATGGCTTAAAGAGCTACCTTCACTCCCATGCTTCATGCTCCCATTCAAATCATTCATCCAGAGTCAGTTAATGGCCAAGGTGAAAATAAGACTCATCTTATTAAGGAGGAAGTCATATGAGATTAGAGTCTTGATGCTTTGTATGGACACAATGTGCACATTTTGTCCTGAAGCACGCATTCATCTGCAGCATGGCACAGGGGAAAGAAGGCTGGCCTTAGAGTCAGAGGATCTGGGTTTGAATCTCACCTTTGCTAATTACTATCTTGTGAGACTGGCTAAATCACTCCAACATTCTAGGCTTAGTTACCTCATTTGAAAAACAAATGAGAGGATTGAAATGGATGGGCTCTAAGGTCCCTTCAAATGCTAAAATGTGTAATCTCTTGCAATCTTTTGGCTACCCTAAAACATGATCCATGATTTCATTTTCAATAATAATTAATAAATAACATAATCCCTCCATAGCTTGTCATTCTGCTTGCTTTTATCCTGGTGGGATCATCCTGTCCCACATGACATTTCCATAAATCCGCCACTAGGGCCTGGCATGCTAACGACCTCTTCCGGTTCTTTGACTACCTCAGGAGGACCCGTGTAGGAAATGGATCATCTATTCATGGCTTCTTATTCTCGCAGCGCGACTAGTGCACTTCTGTTGCCAATCAATCAGCCTTCATGATGTCTTTCAGGACCTTCCAATACTGCA